ATCTGACATGTACCAAATGCAGCTCAAAAAGCGAGGGCCCAGTACGAGAATTTACTAAGCAGAAAAAAACAGCCCTACAAAAACAATTACCCAATCAGCACCACCGCTGTGTAATATATCACCACCTATCGTGTGAAGCCTAGTATAAACCATTTGGGGAACAGATATTTTCAAGCTAAAATTATAGAGGGAAGAACAAACCATTCTTTTGGCAGTTTCACTGTACACACTGTCGATTATACTACATATCTTTTGCTTAGCACGCTCTTCCTCTTCAGCTGTCAGCTTGCCATCTGATTTACTCCGAGAAGGCTGAAATCAGTGGAAAATTTCGAAGCTGAGACACCCTTTATAAGGTGGACAAACGATGAAAAGGAGTGAAATAACATTTAAACAGAAAATTACCCGCTTTGACTTTTTACGCGGCGTTTCTGGGGGAGTAAGTTGCTGTCTGTGCACGGATTCCAAGAATGACGGAGCAGGATCCTACAATGAATTCTTCATCTCGCAAAGAACATATGGAGAACTGTAACAACGTCTGAATGTAGGTAGAAGGGTAACAAATGAAAATCTTTCTGCCTATATTTAACATGCAGTAATCACAAGTTTATCCACTACAACCTCAAGTCTAGGAAATTTCCAAGACTTCACAAAGATAAAGTGTCGTAGGGTCCTATTCGCACTGTACTTAAAACACTGTACAGGTTCCTAAGTTGCACCGCACCGTGAAATAAAAAATTAAACCAAACAAAATGAATCCATAATTAGCCGAAACAAATCCGCAATGTGAAGGTGTTTCATATTTTTTCAAGTGGATGACCAGGAAATGACTGTACTCTATCCAGCCTTCATGTCTATCAGATGTAAAGGTATTTGAGACACGCAAACCTCATACATATACATCGCTGCTTGTACAATCCGTCCCAAATTTAGAGGACGTTATGCTTACAACAAAAACTTGATATAGGGTGCAAAATTTGATTAAGATGCAGCACTAGAAAAAATGAATCCACGACGACGGATTTCTGACTTCAGCGTCTGACAGCAAGCATGACGGAAGAAATTCTACAAAATTCACTGTTAATGTCCTTCCTTAAAAACTTCAATCTCGGTTTCTTTTCGACGATATAGGAACAAATAGCCATTCTTAACTGAAGATGGGTTCGGAACTTGCTGTGTTAGCAAGCTGAGGTGATCGGAGTGGGAAAAGATCTAACTTGAATATAAATCACTTTTACAAACTATAGGGTAGCAAACGATGACCAGACCAGAACTTGAGCAATAAAGGAAGATGCCATTTGCAAAAAGAACAAACCTCGTCAATAATCTCAAGCGGTGGAATCTCATACGTGCCAGTATTTTGATGGAGCATATTCAACGCGACACGCTTCATCGCTTCTAATCTTCGACATTGCTTCTTCACTTGATATATTCTCTCACGTATGCGGACAGTTTGCTGAAAAAAAAGAAGAACGATTATATCACGTATAAGGAAATCGGATTGAACATCAAAGAACGTGTCAAGAATGCATCATGAACAGGCGCTCGATACCCTCGGAAGAGTAATCAGTTGGTATCTGAATCATCATCAACGAACGGCCAATTTACTGGGAAGTTTGTTGCTTTGAGCTGTTAAGTAAGAGAGTTTTCACTAAATTCTCTGCTCGCTAAGCTCACCATATTATTCGACTCAGTACATAATTTCCCGAAGAAAGTAAATTATACCTCGAAACTGCATGAAGCGCTCAGAATTCAGTTCTAGTGGTTCATACTCACATAAAACTCAACTAATTATAGGATACACAGTTACAAAAAGCTAATAACTGTCCACTTTGTAATTTCATGGTGTGTATTCTTGTGATAAAGGTGGTGCAATAGGAATAGGAAAAAATCGGGAATAGGATGAGGCGTTGCTGACCCCAAGAGGATTTGGATAGGAAAATTTGGCGGATAAACAGCTCATCAACACTAAATATGGTAGTAATTCTTTTAAAAGTATTACCAGAACGTCCCCAAAACGTGTGTTCGTAATAGCATTACCCTGCTGTCAAACTGCTTAACACGATGACGCGCCGGACGCATACGTCCTGCATTTTCACATAGACGGGACTCGTTCAGCTTTATTTTGTGCCTCCATTTTTATACAAGAAGAACAGAACACTCATTAGCAATAATGGAATTACTGGTGAGGTAGCAACTATTGAGATCCAAATTCGTGTGGGTAGAAGCACATATCAATCTGGCCTTTTTGTACTCTGATGGGCTAATTATTTGTTTCCATCTATAGGTCATATTCATGGACACCGTTCGTGCAAATAAATAATTAAGTAAATAAATAGATAGAATCAATAAACATGCTGTCAACGGCGTGTTGTCAACGCACCATTGGTGAACTCTGCAAGTATCCACTCGATTCGCAAAATGCTCTCAGCTTCAAAATTGTCAAAGAGATGGCATTTCAAAATCATCATGATCCGTCGTAAATGAGACACCGAAATCAGAGG